CCAAACAGGATAAAATCTATAATGTCTAGAATGGAATCAAAGATTATCAGGCACATAAAGAGGAAGAAAAGTATGACTCATAAGGACAAGAAAAACAGTCTATTAATCTATCAAGCCAAAGCTGACACAGATGTTAAAAGTAGAGGAAGACAACGAAACATCATAAATATATTCCAAGTGATCAAAGCCAAATACATACATGAAAGATATTAAAAGACAGAAATCAAACTTGTGAGGATGAAACCTATAATGTCTGAGATGAAAAACACATTGGATGGGATATCAGTTAGACATTGCAAAAGAAAATGTTAGTAAACTTAAAGTTATAGCAATAGAACTATCCACAATGAAAGGCAGATAGAGAAAAAAAAAAAAAAGGAATCAAACACAATGAAATGAGCATTAACATGTTAGAGGACAGCTTCAGCCAGCCTAATGTATGTGTGATTGGAATTCCAAAGAAGGCAGGGGCAGAAAAATATTTGAAAGAATAATATTGAAAATGTTCTATATTTGATGAAAACTACAAACCCACCAGTGCAGGAAGCTCTGCAGATCCCAAGAGCAGATTTACTGGCCAGTGCAATGAGGAAAACAAATACAAGAGAAATAAAAGGCATCTTGATTTTAAGAGAAGACATAAAAATATCTTTTTTTGAAGGTGACATGATCATCTACGTAGAAAATGTGACATTATCTATTAAAAAGCTGCTAAAACTAATATATGGACTTAGCAGTGTATCCTTAGAAGGATACAAGATCAGTATTTAAAAATCTTAAGACCCAGAGACAAAGCATGTAATTATGCTTCTTGGCTAAACAATGGGAAAAACTCCTCTACTTGTGTTTTGTTTTTAATCTGGTCTCCCCCTACTCATCAGGAGGAAAGGTCTATTTAATTGAGAACTGTTTTTGTTAGATGACATGTAACCAATTGGTTTCTTATCATCCCATTAAACTAAGTGTGATTCCTGCCTGGGTCTTCCCACAAGGGGCTTAGTTCCCCAAGTTGTTTGGCTTCAGTTTTCCTGACTTGTTTTATAGTCACTCTTCTGCTGGTTAACTCTTCATTGATTCTGTCCTCTTTGAACTGCCCAGCAGTTGTACTTTGGTTCAGATGAACTAGTATTGCACATTTTGGCTAAAATAAGTAGAATCCCTTATAGTCCCACACTGCTTAAGGCTCTGGGTCCTTTAATCTTTTTCTTAACATGTTTCTGTCTGGACTTTTCAGTATTTTACTTTTGAAAAAAGTTATAGATTGATCCCACTTTTGACTATTATTTTTAATTTCATGTACTTATAAAAATAGGAAACTTACTTATAAAAGGAAACATAAAAATAAAATTGAAAGCCTAATTATTTCTCCTCACATCTCCAAAAGAAGAATCAAATTAGTTCCAAGAGTATAAATGGCTTACCAGGTTTTGTTTTGTTTTGTTTTTTTCCTTAACCATTTTTTTTCACTGTGAATATAAGATTGGGCTTTGGGCCAAGATATGAAAATTTATAATAGAACTTAGTTGTTTGTTTTCATGCAAAATAGATATTTTTATACCAGCATAAAAGGTTTGAAGATACGGGGAATAGTCTTACCTGGAATGGCATATAATGGATGTGGACCCCCCATTCAAAGAAAAAGAAAAAGCTTTAGATCTAATTTTAATGAGCATGAAAATTCTCTCTTGTGAATTATATTGCCTGACCTGAGAGGAAGAATTGAAGATGTGCCTTCATTATTCAGAACCAGAGTAGGTCTTTGTAGACCTGTGTCCTCAGTCATACTATATTATTGTTGCTAGAAGAACTGCTCCATAGTAGCTTGTCTGCAAGCAAGCAGTATAGTGTCAGATATTTTCTAAAATTTTAGTGTTTTATGTTCAGTAAAAGTCATAACAGGTTAATTTATCCCAGTTTTGGAGGGACTGTTAATCACCTAATGATTCTTACTGGTTTACCAGGAAGCCATGATTTTTTAAAGAGAGAGGATTCAAAGAGGCATTATTTAAGTTTTTCCTGTGATCATGGTAAGTGCCTAGTAACTTCAGAAGTTTCAACTGAAATTACTTTGGCTTTGTCCTGTAGTGTAGATATTTGGGGACTTCTAGGACAAGCCACAGAAACAAACTCTTATTGAAATGGAACAGGAAGTTATTGCATGGACTTTGGGTTGCTGTTAGAATCAATCACCAGGCAGGCTGGGCACTGGGAAGGGAGTGAGATGAGGCAGCTAGAGCCACATCAGCCCAAGAGCCAGTCCTGCAAGAGTCCTGCACTAGTTCACCTGGAGCCTGGATGCTGCTGTTTGAGCCACTGCCCTGACTGGCAGTAGATACCACAGTGCTCCCCTGGTTACAGGCTCCGCTGTACCGTGGCACCACTTCTGTCTCCTTTAAGTCCTATTCCTGTGCATCACCAGCCTCAGTTTTAAAAATCCAGACTACATGTGGCCAGTGGTCATGTATTGTCTCATCCTGTGTCCAGGAGTCTGCCTCCACTGAGACTCACCAAGTAAAAAAATCTCAGAACACAGAAAAATAGTTGTAGACCTCAGACAGACAAAAAAATGTCAAATGTTCACTTCAGGCAAGGCTAGTCAAGCAGTTGTTTATGGACTGAAATGGAGCTAGAGTTGCTTGCTATGGAAACTCTGGGGTGGTTCTTGTGGCTCATCTGAGAGGCAATTCAGAACTGAGGTATTGTCCTACTTAGCAGAAATGGACATTAAAACTCTTGGTTTTGCTGTGATTTTGTGTTTGATTTTCTTTAATTTGCTGTTCCTGATAATGAACTAGCCCTGGAAAATGTTCTGTTTGTCTAGTAGAATTCTGCTTTTATACAGTGAATAAAAACATTCCCTGCTGTGTTTATTTGAAATAGGAGCAGGCATTTTCTATATTTTAGTGGCATATGGTACTAAGATTTTATCATACTTTCTTATAAAGAGCCAGGAAACTTTTTCTGCTTAAAAATGTGTGTTTATAAACAATAGGCTTGCAGTGAATATTCCCATCTGTTAGGTGAACATAATTTGTGTAGGAATTCCTGTAATAGGTGGAGTACTTTGCAACTTTTCTGTATATTTTTTCCCTGGTGAGACATTAGACTAAAGAGATGGTACAAAACAGCATATGCCTAATATTCAATTTTGTATCTGCTCCTCCCTGTGGTTTGAAAACACTGCTATTTTTGTGCATTAGTACATAAGATTACTATAGAAATTCATAAGAATTTAAAATCTATTTAGGATACTACAAAAAAAGGGAAATGGAATGGATAACAATTATATAAATATGGAAATGTTGCAATGATGAAACTGTTCATGTAGTTTCTCAAATATGTACTCCCATAACTTGTGTAATTTCATCTTCAAAAAGTTTTGTTGACTATAACTTAATCTCAAAACTCCTCCTTATTATGATCATAGTATGTGACAGAGCTGCTCATCCTTCTAGTCTTGATTTGTAATTTAAATAAATGGCATTGACTCTTTGTGTTCAATTTGATACTATTCTTATTATCCACACTAATTAATTTTTTGTTTGAGATGAGCCATTCCTCAGAATAAAATTTTGAAGATTAAAACTCAGCAATATTTTTTCATAAAGGATTTTATTAATCTTGTCATGGGAATATCAAGATGGTTATCAGAGGGAAAACATACTTTGATTAATATTTGCTTAGTGCTAAATTACCTATATTGTCCAAATGTTTTATTCACTAAAAATTATGCCTTTAAGTTCCTTTTTCAGGTTAATTGGACATACTTGAAGATGAGCAATCAGTTGAATATAAGCAATTTCAAGCTATGCTTAGGAACTGAGCCAATAAAGCATACCATACATACCTAATTTTTAGAAGTTTCTCTGATTATCCTTTGTGAGAAGTATATTTAAGTTGAAGATAACTATTAACATCTTTGTAATAAAGGATAGCATCACTGAGTTTTCTCTTTTTCAGGAAATAGGCTACCATTAGATTGGATGTTAGCTTCCCTTTTCTTTCTTGTGGTAGGCAACTTCCTATTTGTGAAAAGTATCCAGGATGCAGCCTTATTCTTGTGTGTTTGTGAACGTGGCCTAGAAACCAATTAATGTATTTTCTTAGGTATTGTAAAAGACTTGGGCTCTGGGGCTATAAAACTCACTTCAAGTGGTCCTTGGTTATAAATTGTACTTGCTTATGGATATCAAAATATCCTAAGTTATAAAACTAACAGTAAACCTGTAAAACAGAGCTTTTATGGAAACTGTATCCTCTACTTTTTTCCTTCTATAAAATGTTACTGAAGTTTTTAGAAAGGCATTGATCTGAAGGATGTGATTACTTAAAGTCACAGCAATAGAAAATACCTATGAAATCACCTTTCAGTTACCCAAAACATTTTTAAAGTTAATGTCAGGGCCATATGTGGAAAAGTGAGGGAAGTGTATGAATTGTGTTGGAGGTCTACAGCAGTAAGTGCAGAGGGGAGCTGTGTCATGATGCTCCTGCTCTCTTTGCTTTGATGACACCTGTATCTCATCCTGTAAACATTGTTTGAATTTTTAGGTAGAGTGACACAACACATTATGATGTAAAGGTTGTTGCCAGTTCTAGAAATAACTTACATTCTGAGAGAAAGAATTATACACACTTGTAGCTGAAAGGTCTAGTTTAAGTTTAGCTATAGATAATGACCTATAGCTATTTAATATTTGTTTTTATTCATCTCGTTGTGAGTGTTATCCACTACATGCATGGCAGTGTACTGGTTGCCAGAGGCATAGTGATGAACAAGGCAGGTCTAGAACCTAGCTTCATGTACTCTTGACAGCCTAGTTGGGGAGACAGACAGCTATTATGTAATCTCCCAGATAAATTGCAGTTGAGGTGTGTTGATTACAGAGAAGGACTGGATAAACATTAGTTTACCAAAAATAAAATATTTGTTGAGCACTTGTGATGCTAGAACTTCTCTGGATATAGAACCATTAATATTTCTTTTTGGTATTTGGCAGGTATATTATCCCGTCTTTACAGAGGCTTGATGCTGGGTTTTACCGCTGTGTGGTGCGGAACAGGATGGGAGCTCTCTTGCAGAGAAGATCAGAAGTTCAAGTCGCATGTATGTGTGCATTGGAAAAGTCTCCATATGATGAATAACAGAAACAAAATGTCTGTGGACAATGTTGATCAAAATCACTTTTAACCATTGTAGGAATTGAGATTCTGTCTTGGATTCTATTGGGAATAGAATAATTGCTAAAGTTGTTGGGAGATAAACAGCCAGTAAGGCTGTTCCGATGGTGACCAGGCTAATGAGGTAAATGCCACTCCTGGCCACTCAGTAAGGAACTTTGTCAGGCCCTGTGCAGGAGAGAAAACAAAAAAATTAACTAGATGCCTTCTGCTTTATGATCAGCTGCTCTTAGCATTTATGATACTCAGGTTCATGTGTTTTTCAAATAAAAAATTAAACCCAGTTAGATTAAGTTTTATCAGTTCATAACCAGTTCTTTCCAGGAAATTGTTTAGAAATCCTTTAGCCACACAATTAAAAAAGTACATAATAACATCCCAGACAGTATTACTGTTACTGACTTGATGAATTCTCTGTGGGGCAGACCCATTTTGGAGTAAAAGTAACTGGAGGAGACACCAGAATGCAAGGACTTTGCATTTGATGTCATGTTCAGGAGGAATTGGAGAGATGAGCTGACTGATGCAAAGTACTTACTTAGTACTTTTGTAGTCCAAAATCTGTGAAGAGTCGGGTCCATCTAAAATGGTCTATCTGCTTTATTACATTTTGAATTTACTACTAAAATGTCTCCTCATTTAAAAGAAAGCAGAAAGTGTAATGAAGCTTTAAGTTACGTCAAGGGCGGCCCGGGTAGCTCAGCAGTTTAGCGCCGCCTTCAGCCCAGGGTGTGATCCTGGAGACCCGGGATCGAGTCCCATGTCAGGCTCCCTGCATGGAGCCTGCTTCTCCCTCTGCCTGCGTCTCTGCCTCTCTCTCTCTGTGTGTGTGTCTCTCATGAATAAATAAATAAAATCTTTAAAAAAAAAAAGTTATGACAGATTTGAGAGAACTCTAGAGAGCTCCTAAATTGGCCTGCCAACCAACGATGACAATATTTTCTTATTTGTTTTTTGACCACAGGTAAGGCCTATAGTTTTCAGCCTTATTATAGCGAATAAAATAATTGCTCGTTACTCTCCTATTCTGTAATTACTAATGACCAAGTGAGGTGCTAATGCTGTACATGTTTAGTTATGTTTTTAATTAGGAAGGCTTAACTTTTCTAAAGTGTGAAGTCACTCAGCTAAATCTTTCTGCAGAATAATTTAGAACTTCTACTCAATTGAATAATTGAAAACATAATAAATGCAAAGTTCAGATCAATACCCCAAACATATTTGAATAGGTTAGCAGTTTGGAATTTATTATAATGTATTAAATTCTATTATGTAATATTAAATTTTGGGCTTCTTTTGGTTAATTATTTATACTCTTGTTTCTATCATTTATCTCTGGCTCTTAGATTTTCTCTTATCTCTCTTTTCTCCTTTTTGATAATAAGTTTTACTTTGAAAATAAACGTGACTGTTTTCCTAATGTTTCATTAGTTTCATCTCTTTCCTAGAATATTAAATCTGCTTATTACATAGGAAATAATTTCCTTTGAATAAAAAATCCATGGATAATAGAGATTTTCTGTGGACTGTCCAAATTTATATGCTTCGAGACAAGGACATAGTATGTATGCTGTATGTGTGTATACACATATATCTGTATCTAAGCATAACAAAGACAGTTTTTGAAAGGCTCGAATGTTACAAATCAATTTACAATTGGCTTCTTATACCTACATTCTAATGACTGGGTTTTTTCCTGGGAACCCTCATTTTTTAAGAATGCTGTTAACCAGTACCACAGGAACTGGAACAAAGACTGCTTGCCCCAAATTTAAAAAAAAATTGAACAGGGGGACCATGGCTGCCTGAGTGGAACTAGCTTGAGACCCTGGGGAGTGGGGTGATAGCCAACAGTGCTTCACAGTCTTTGTGGTGGATCCCTTTCCACTGTTTATTCCAATATTAAGATCAGTTGCAAACGTTTCATTGTATTGTTGCAGCGACACAAAGACCATGAAGTTCTGCTGATTAATGCATTTCGTGGGCACTTTGGAGGCACATGGCTCTGTCTCATGCTTCACTTCACCAGTTGATCTGCATTCATCAGCATTACCACTCAGTCTCTCATCTTATTGCTTAATTATAGCAATATCAGTGACTTTGCTGTAATATATAGTTATTTACATCTTTGACCCTTCCCCCCAAAAAAAAAAGTTTTCTAGAACTTAAAAAGTCTGATTTTTCTCTGCAGATATGGGAAATTTCATGGATACAGACCAGAGGAAAACAGTGTCTCAAGGACATGCAGCGGTGCTCAACTTACTGCCCATCACCAGCTGCCCGAGGCCACAAGTGACTTGGTTCAGAGAAGGGCACAAGATCATTCCCAGCCACAGAATGTAAGTTGCCCCAAACTATAAAATATAACTCATTACACTTGTTGGCATCATTTACATATTATTTAATGAACTTCACTGTATCAGTTAAGCCTTGAAAAGAATAATGTACTCTGGTAGTCCTTCCCCAGTCTTTACTAAGCAGCTGTTTGGAAGACTTGGCTTGGAAATGTTGAAGCAGTTTACAGAAATCATCATGTAAAGTTACTCTTGGGTGGGTTGTGTGCCCTGAATAAAGCACCCTTACTCAGTTATTATGGTCCGTTTTTTTCCCTTTCTTGCATGTACTTTTTGAGATGTCATTATCATCTCTGAGTTGTGTTTAGCTCCAAGTACTAATTTAATGAGTGCTAGTATTTACGTATAGAGCTGTGGGTTTTTTTCCTTCTTTTTACTGAGCCATGTTTGATACGACTTTCTCTGATGATAAAACAGTAATTACTGCTTATTTCTCTTTATCCTTTTATCCTACCGTGACAGTTTTATTTCCCTTCATCTAATTAGTGGTTCGTCCATCTATTGTGGAAGAGTTGCTTTGTGATTAGTTAAGCATTATTTCAAGGTGTTCCTGCCTATCCTGCATTCAAGATATTTATTTTTTTTTTATTATTTATGATAGTCACAGAGAGGGAGAGAGAGAGACAGAGACACAGGCAGAGGGAGAAGCAGGCTCCATGCACCGGGAGCCCGATGTGGGATTCGATCCTGGATCTCCAGGATTGCACCCTGGGCCAAAGGCAGGCGCCAAACCGCTGCAACCACCCAGGGATCCCTCAAGATATTTATCTAATGCCAAACAAATTTTCTTCATTTAGAGCTTGAGGTGATTAAAAAGAACATTTGGTATATATTTCATAACTGGGCATTTTATAACACAATTTAAGGATAATATACTAAATATAAACATTTCAGGGATGAACATTTCTAAAAGAATCATGAAATGCTTATAAGCTTGGGCTAAAAGTCAAATACGCCATCAGATGGTTGCACTCATACAAAAATTCATGAGGAGAAAATGCTTTTGTTTTGTTCTGTTTTTCCAAAAAGGATATATATAAGATGATTATGGGATAGGTTTTCAGTGTAACTCTGAAAGTCACTGTGACCTGTAAACTTCTTTCTCCCATACCTGCCCATCCGTGGGATCCCTTCTCGAAGCCAGGTGTCATGGCTCTTCTGCCTGGGCATCTGAACCTGCCTGACCCCAGACCATTCTTGAGCTTATTTAACAAATGTTTCTATTCTTATTATTGAAAACAGGAAAAATATCGAAGTGTAGACAGGCCATATTTAAACATTTTAGTAAAATACTAATTACCTTAGAAAATGGGATAACTGCTTTCCCTATTATTTTGTTAAGAGTTGCTTGTCCACATTTGTATTGTTTCCAGTGATAACAGATGCTTCTTGAGGTCAGTGAGACAAAGAACAGGGATCATTTTTTAAATCCTTTAGAAGACTGTTAGGCTGAACAAAAGATAGCAGAGGAAGACTCTTGTGAAATATTTTGGAAGGTTCTAGTGTTGAGCATGGTGTGCCTCAGCCAATTTGGGATGAATGCTGGGGAAGAGTGGTTGCTAGGAGGGTGGGTAGATTGAACTAAGCTTCCTCTCCAACATTGGAGCTTCTAATTAATGTCAATGGGAGCACAGTCCACAATGGAAGGATTAGTTTAACTCAGGAGCAAGCCGCTGTATAGCAGTTCACTTGTTGACTTGTGGCCTCATAATCATAAGACAACATTTATTCAAGAAGTATGAAAGGAGATAGAATGAAATAACCACTCTTAATTTTTTAAGCTTTTCTTTTTTTACTTTCAGATTCTTTCTAAAGACTGTTTAATTCCTGATGAGCTACTAATGTAAAGATGCTAAGTAGGCTTTAACTTAGTGTCCTATCAAACAAATGGTATGTGAAGCTATTGATAAAATCTCCAATCTCAGAATAATATGCCTGTAATCCTTTATTTTAGGAGAGATTGGTTATGGATATTTCCACGTTCGTAAGGCCTTTTGTTTCATATTTTCTACCTCATCATCACCTCTATATTTATTAAGTACCTGCTATGCGAGATGTCATAAATCAATTTGTGTATGGTTTTCTCATAAATTTATTCAAAGATACATTGCTTTACACTTCTGACAAAGTTCAGCTTTGGACAGCAGTTGGAAGGGGATTTCTGCATGACCCCTGCCTAGATGGTTGGCAGACAAAAGTCAGATGGCATTAGATTTGTTGTGCACCACCAGTGTTGTCATTTAAACACTGAAACATTTGGCTCAAAGTGTTTCATACTGAAACAGGTCAAGCTTCTGTACCTGCTGTAAGCTTGTCAGTTCCCTAACACAGCTAGGGAGATGGCCCTTTGCCATGGGGAGGAGGAGCCTCATCTTACCAGCCCCACCTCCTTAATATATATTTTTTAAATTTTATTTATTTATTTGAGAGTGAGCACATGGGGTGCGGTGTGGAGCAGAAGAAGAGGGACAGGCAAACTCCACATTGAGCACTGAGACCTACTTGGGCTTGATCCCAGGACCCTGAGATCTGACCTGAGCTGAAACCAAGAGTCAGACACTTAACAACTCAGCCCCCAGGCACTCTCCCAACTCCTCCCCCACCCTCAAACCATGACCTTCGGAATGTGAGCTTTTGGCTTACAATTAAGTGATTTTTTTTTTCATTTTCAAGGGAAACAATGATTTTAATGTTTCCTAACTTGAAAAGTCAGTTGAATAGCCTATTCATAATTTTAGCAGCAGCTGTTATTTATGAGTACCTTCTTTAAACACATCTTCCCTGATTCTCACAATTGCCTTCCGAAGGAGTATAGTTAGTTGTGCTTCTAGAGATCAGACTGAAGATTAGAGATGTTAACAGGCTCACCCAAAGACACACAGCTGACCAATGGCAGAGCTGAGGTTCCACCCCAGGCCTGTCTGGCTCTAAGTCTCAGCTGTCTTCCGCACTAAGCTAATTCTTCTTTTCACTTTATTTTGCTGAGCCTTCTTCTTTTGATTTGTTTTTCCAAATACTGCTTTTATTCCTATTTCTCCCTTTTAAGAACACCAGCCTTCGGGATCCCTGGGTGGCGCAGCGGTTTGGCGCCTGCCTTTGGCCCAGGGCGCGATCCTGGAGACCCGGGATCGAATCCCACGTCGGGCTCCCGGTGCATGGAGCCTGCTTCTCCCTCTGCCTGTGTCTCTGCCTCTCTCTCTCTATGACTATCATAAATAAAATAAAATAAAAAGATACATAAAGTCCTTTAAAAAAAAAAAAAAAAAGAACACCAGCCTTCAATTTGAAATAGTACAGGTTGCCGTGAGCCACAGGCACACACAGAAACGTGCCCACATAGCGTTGAGCATGCCTGCAAGTGTATTATTTATCCATTGCATTGTGTCTATAAGTCTCTAACTTGAGAAATTTTTCACAAAAGAGAAGGCAAACATGGTTTTCCAATTAAGGCATGGGCTTTATGACATTCAGAGACCTAGTGGGGGATGGGGTGGAAATGATGTCTCTACAGCACAGGGTGGGGGCAGCAGGAGAAAGAGGGCAGCTGCCATGTGCAGAACCCAGCACCTCACCACTGCAGCCTCTTGATTCTTGAGCTACATACTTGTTAAATAAGGAGGCTTAAATTGTGTAGCAAAAGGAGCAGCAGAAATCCATCATTATCCCAGAAAAGTAGCTGAAATGAATGTGCCAGTGGTGGACGTGAGCTACCGCACATTCACATCAGGATGAGGCTAAATGTAAAACTCACAAAGTTCTGATTGATGGGATGCCTGGGTGGCTCAGTGGTTGAGCATCTGCCTTCAACTCAGAGCGCGAGTTTGGAGTCCCGGGATCGAGTCCCACATTGGGCTCCCTGCATGGAGCCTGCTTCTCCCTCTGCCTATGTCTCTGCCTCTCTCTGTGTCTCTCATGAATAAATAAATAAAATCTTTTTTAAAAAAAGTTCCAATTGATGTTTGGGCTTTACTTACCTCCCATTCATTCACTGAGGACTTATTGAGGGTATTTACATACCAGGTACTATTCCAGGCACCAGATATGCAGCAGGAAACAAAGTTCTTGTCCTCAGGGAGCCTATCTCCAAGTGGAAGAAAACCGATGACATGTCAGCTGGTAATAGTGAAGAGAGAATAAAGCAGGGACAGAGTGGGGAATGCAGTTGCTATTTTAGATGTGGAATCAGAGAAGTCCTCTTCCATAATCACCTCTTTGGGTAGAGACCTGAACCAATCTGGGGAGGAGGCGTGGGAGTAAATCAGTGAGAAGAGCACCTGGGATAGGAGACTGGCCAGTGTGTTGGAGGAGCAGACAGGGTAGAGTGAGGGAGAGGGCTGGAGATGAGGTCACTGAGGTAGCTGGGCTGGTTCCTAGACTTAGGTTACTTAGCCAGAATGACAACTTTGGCATTTACTCTGAGGATCTGAGCAGAGCAGCAGTACGATCTCCCTTGTGATTTTTCTGTTAGGAATTCTGTGATGAATGGACTACGGGGCAGCAGAATCAGGAACCATTTGCCACAGTAGTTCAGCTGACTCAGACTGAGCAGTTTGGTTGGGGGAGAGGTAGTGAAAAGTTATCAGATACAGATGTATTTTGAATGTAGAATCAATAGGATTTTCTGCTGGATTAGATGTGGGGTAGGGGAGGAGAGAAGCCATGGAAAACTCCAAGAATTTTGGCCTGAGTAACTGATAACATGGGCTTAACCATCTCCTGAATGGGAGAGATGATTTGATACAGGCAAAGCAAGTTTTGTCTGTATTGGGGGAGGAGGGTGTCTAAAATTTGTTTTGTACATGTTTGAGATACATAGTAAATGGTCAAGAAGATCTGGTCATAAGATAGTTGTTTGTATCAGACTGAAGGTCAGGCAAAGAGGTCTAAGCTAAACTTGCGGGTTAGCGTGTTCATGATTTTTAAAACTCTTTAATGCTCTGTGTGAAATACGTAAGTCAGTTAGCAAAGCCCAGATAGCTCCATCT